GTGCTCCAACAACAGCGAATGGGTGTCTCCGCTGCGAAGGCCACACTAAAAGTATCGCCTTTGGATTTGGGGGAGGAACATTCGCTGGACCAACACTTACAAGTACACACTTACAGATGCATGCACGAGAGCATTTATCTACAGTTGTGTACTCTGGCAAAATAAAGCGTAACTCTATGCTTGAGTCAAGCATAACGCTTCAAGATAAGACGCTTGACATAAAGCATAGGCTGGAAATTCCCCCCATACATTTAGATAGAGGGAAACTTGGCGGATGAACCCATTACCCATTACGCTTAATTTCAAGCGGAAACTGATTACGCTTGAAAGCAGAGGGTAGTGGGCGAATCCAGGTCAACTTGAACGGGGTTTGACCCCGACCCCCTCAGAACTTGCTCCAAACAGTCTTAAACCATTGGTCTATACCTAAAACCACCCCAAAAAAAATTTGGTTGAAAAATATTAACATTTGGCTGAGCTGTGGCACTTTTTGTTTTTTGGTCAATTTCAGTGAAAATAGTGCATTGAAAATTTGAAAAAAAAAATTTCCTCGAAATGGGGATTTTTGAGGCCTGATTTGTTTGAGATGAGTTGTCTTATGATAGACCAATGCAATTCCGGTCATAGACCCCACCTCACTCAATTTGGACTGAAGGCTGAAGAATTTCTAGTAATTTTACCTAAAAATCGAAATATCAAACCTTGCCCCACCTTTCAAAATTCATTTCTATGCATGAAAAATTACCTTAGGGTCCTGACAACAACATATAAAAAATCTGGGATGGAGTTTTTTATTTTAAGGAAATCGTTCAAGAAAGCGCTACTTTTGACTTGTCGATTTAGCTAAAACGCATGAAATTTCACCAAATGTAAAGTACGATGAGGCCAATCTTGCTGTTTTAGCCTCTTTGCGCACTATCAGAAGACTAATGAGCTTGAGGAGAGTAAATTAAAAAATAAATACAATGGTCAAGTACTACAATGGGCTTTAATGACCAGTTTTTAACAACTTTTTAATAGAAAATGCTTGAACCAATTACTGTTTTGAATGTTGGCGACGCCTCTTGGATGCCTGGGTTGGGAAAATAGGTGACGGATTCCTGCAAGCCACAAAGAAAATGAGAAAAAGAATCTTTTCAAGTGGGTTTAATTGAGTAGATTGCAATTGAATGTTAAAAGCAGTTTACCTGGGAGTCTTGATGTTAAACCTGTCAACTGTCATTTTTTTAGTTGTATTTGAAAGGCCATATGTATTGCCATCAAATGAGGGTGAATATAAGAGCAGGATATTATCAAGGTGTATGTTCAGTATTTGACGCTCCTCTGGCAATGGCATTTTGTACCTTGTCCTTGCTGACAGCAGTTTCACACAACTTATTTCTGAAGTTTCATAGTTGGTGGAAATAACTTTAGCAAGATGCCATTTGGCTTCATGCATTACAGTTGCAAAACCCCCTTCCAAGTCTTGCACATTGTTAGGTACTTCAGGATTGAGCTGAATCCTTTCTTGGTTTGGAGATGTAGAATACCTCTTCACAATGACAGCATTTTGGGACACAGGAATAAGGGTGTGGTAAGAGGATATTCCTTTGAGTTGTGGTGCATTTTTGAAACGGTCCTTAAGCTTGTTATCATAGATTTTCTGAATCTCACTTTCAGGAACAAGAACAGCTGTAATTTTGCTTAGCTTGTTGTTGACAAAGTCAGTCAGGTCAGCAGCTGATAATACATGCCCTTCAAATGTTTTCCTTAGGCTCTCCAAGCAGGCCTCTCGCTTCACTTTACCACCTATACCATCACCTGGCCCCTTTCCATGGGCGGTGGGAGTAAAGTGCCACTCCGCTTTAATGAGAAACCCTTTGAAATGGTGACAAAGATTTGCGACATTAATTTGTTCTCGTATTGGCTGCCTGCCCCATCAGAAGAATATGTCACTGTTTTCAGACCAGGAACTCGTTCTCTTTAACATTCAATCAGTTTAGTTTGAAATGCATACACTGCCGTTGTGTCATGAGTGACACGGTCAGATATCATCACATAGCTTGCTATCTCAATTTCACTTGAGCCAGCTTCTTTCCGGAAGTAGCACACAAAGGGATGTAAGGTGATTTGGGCATTTGTCCAGTGATACCCCTGAGCAGCATCTTGTATTACTGGCTTGTAGTTCATACTAAAATCACCCACTACAAAAACTTCACCATCTTCGGGACTTTTTTTTCTCTGCTAAAAAAGCTGCCTGCATTTTGGCAAAAAATCATGCTCAACAAATTTCTTGGAGACGAGTCAGAAAAAGTTCAATGTAATCGTCAATCTTGACTAATGGTGACAAGATTTGTACGGTCCACTGAAACCCACTCCTTGTATTCAATTGTCTCTACCATGTTTAAATCAAAGATAAGTTCCAGTTTTCTTGAAGCTCTCCCACACCTGGACAATTTTTACACATTCCAAAGTAACACTCATCAGATCTTGATTCACAAAGTATTAGAGAAAAGCAGTCTTTGTAGGATTCTATCCCTTCAATGCCCTCAGCTCCATCTTCAAGTTTTGCACCTGCATCATTAACTTTACATTTTGATGAATAGTACAGACACATACAGTGTGTGTACCTGCAGCTCCTGGTAGAATGATGTAAGGAGGGCGCAACTCTGCAAATTTAACAAGGAAACTTTTGCTTCTGGATTGTTCTTTTTAAAAAAGTGCATACAATTCTCTCACTGATAACAATAGAAGCCTTTTCTGTATCTTCTGTCTAACACCATCAATTTGACAGATTTGAAATCTTTTTTTCCCCGGCATTACTCGGCTGTGATGGTCTTCTTCAAAAAAAATTAGAAATTTGTTTCGCTGTTATATCAGACAGCCTTTTTCCGGGCTTTGGGTTAGGCTTGCAAAAAATTTCCCCTCAGTTGAACTTTCAACTTTACCAAGCGAACTAAATGTTTCGAGCACTGAAACTTATCTACAATTTTTTGAATCGTCCAATCCTTGGGCAAAACTGATAAGATCATAAATTTTTTCAGCTGAAGATTTAGTTTCTCTGAATTTTTTATGAGCTGATTCAGCATGGAGGAAAAGTCTTCAGCTTGCTCATCAACAACAACATCTTTGGACGTTCCTGCTTTAACAGCATTTTCCCTTTAAATTTGCTGCCTGAAGACTCGCAACTTCAGCAGCGGTAAGATTTGCTTTTGAGAGTTTTCTAGGATCAGCAGGTGAAAGATTGTTCGCTTTGAGATTAGTATCAAACCGTTCCTTATGAATCTCAGGCGGTGTTTGGGGAAAGCCACTTACTGTTTTCCCTTTACTGTGGCTAGCACTCTCACTTGCAGTGCCACTTACAGATGCACCCTTTCCCCATCACTTTCACTCACAGAAGGTGAGCCAGGGTCTTCTGGTTCCACGTAAGCACCAGCTTCTGCCAGTTTTCTCTTTCTTCCTTTCAACGGATATTTTCCCTAGACATCAAGTCTACACTCTAAGCACAGTAGCTGCCCCGGTACCAGAGGGTTTTGATCAGAGACATACTTGCGGTAATCTTGATAGAGGTCATAAGATATGGGCCGTAATCCTTTTTCCCTTTCACAAGCACTAAAGCTACAAACTTTTGACGGCTGGTAACCGAGTACAAAATCAGTGTAATGTTTATCGCACACAGACTTTACAGAGGGCGCTCCAGTCCGAAGCTTTAAAAGTTTCTGATCCAAGTTTGTAGATTTGCCTTGCGCAAAAGGGCGTGAGCATTGATAAGGAGACATCACGGTCATTCCAATAGAGCATCTAGACCTAAAATCAGAGGCAAAACATGAGAAAAGAGGCAAAAATATGAAGTCATTTTCACTTAGAGATTAGCTTACACCAATGGTTCAGGTTTGGGGGTTTCAATTTCCATGGCCATGGTGAGATCAGCAGAAGCGCCACCAATAACATCAAAAACATCTCTGAAAAACAAAAAAACCTACGGTTAATATTTTGATGACTGTTAAAAGTCTTCTACTTTTCACAATATTGACAGTACTAACAGGTTAGAAAGCCCCGAGTGTGAGGGAGGTGTTCCCTCCTCGGAATCAGACATGACCCAAAAGTGAGTAACTAGCAGA